TATATATATATATATATATATATATATATATATATATATATATATATATATAAATATATATATATATATATATATATATATATATATATATATATATATATATAAATGCCACCTTGATGAACAGAATAATTTTAATTAAATTAATAAATAAAATTAATAATAATAAAAAACAAATAAACTGACCCCAAACTTTTGACCGGCAGTGTGGATCAGTGGGTTAGTTTAATAAAATAATTTAATGTGCGTGTTGAACATAATAGACGTTTGTTGATAGGCTGTGCTATTGTTAAAACCTCTTCTTTGTCGGTCTCAAATATTTTTTTAAATGCATGAGAGGGCAGCACATATATCAGCCTTAACCTGGAGTTTGTTTAGCCTCCGCTATTGTGGCTCTATTATTATTATTATTTTTCAGATATCCATTTTTGTATATTATTTTAAGTGAATACTTCAACACAGTGAAAGTTTACACAGTAAAAAAAAAGTTTGGTACCTAAATATTTTAGGTTGAATCAAATTAGCTTCAAAAGTAATTTTAACTTTGCCACCCCTCCTTTTTAAAACCGCACATTTTCGTACGACTGAAGTCATCCAAATTTGTGCGAATTAGAAACTAAACTGACAAAACGTAAAATACTTAAGTTTCCTCGTGAGACCAGGCTGGTTGAGCACAGCTATGTGGTTTATTTTACAGCTCCTCTAAAGTAAAACAGTTGAGTTTTACCATTTTTGAATCCATTCAGCTGGTCTCCGAGTCTGATTGTAGCACTTTTAGCTTAGCTTAGCATAGATCATTGAATCAGATTAGACCATTAGCATCTCACTTAAAATGACAAAAGAGTTTTGATAATTTTCCCATTTAAAGCTTGACTTTACTGCAGACTTTACTGTCAATTTGGCCAGGAACTATACTATTCCAGTGTGATGATCAAGTATCTTGAGCAGCAGGCCGCATCTAAAAATCAGCTAACTTCTGTGTATTCCGGTTCAAATAGATGTGGTTAAGGACCTGCACCAAAGTAAATATGTTCTGAATGATCCCTCTCATATGCCTCCATGAATGCAAAGTATGCTTCCTGTGGAAGCCAGATAGTCACGTTAGCGGCTTTCAGGTGCCATGGAACAGCAGCAAAGATTTTTGATTATGCCAGAATAAGAGTATAGTTCCTATTGGCATAAAGGATAGCAACTTTATTTTTCTGTCAGTATTAGTACAAGAAATAACTACGGAATAGTCAAAATAACTGAAACTTCTTGGTCCTTTTTGAACGAGATGCAAATTGTCTAATCTGATTCAATAATAGATGCTAAGCTAAACTAAAATTGTTCCCACCGTACCCGGAGATCAGCTGAATGGATCAAAAATAAAGGTATAAAAAGCATAAAACTCAACTGTTTGAATAGGGGACTTATAGGTGCTATGTACTTAAGCACTTAAAGTTGTTCCCCAATAATTGGGAGCCAAATAACCACTTTTAGTGCAATTTAGTACCATTTTAGAGTGTATATTAAACTATTAATCCGGGGTCGCCACAGCGGAATGAACCGCCAACTTATCCAGCACGTTTTTATGCAGCGGATGCCCTTCTAGCCGCAACCCATCTCTGGGAAACATCCACACACACTCATTCACACACACACACACACACTATGGATAATTTAGCCTTTGGACTGTGAGGAAAACCCACGCAAACGCAGGAAAAACATGCAAACTCCACACAGAAAAGGCAACTGAGCCGAGGCTCGAACCAGCGACCTTCTTGCTGTGAGGCAACAGCACTACCTACAGCGCCACTGCGTCGCCTATATATATATGAGCTAAATCACACGAGTAGCAGTACGATATGGCTTTATATCGGCACTGATGGGACGCGTGCATTGCCTCGTGCCTTAGTGCCCCCAACAGTGCCGATATACAGCCATATCGCACTGCTACGAGTGTGATATTGCGTTTATACAACAGTTTAACAGCATTATTGTAGATATAAAAACAAAATCAAACATGGAGAGTCTTAAAAACCCTTTTGTATAAGGAACTACTTTCTTCCGCGTTGGATTCAAATCATAAGCTGACAGTTAAACAGCTGAGCAAGCATCTTTTAAAGATTCTAATGACACTTTAGATCTGTAGTGTCTGATTTTTGCTGGCTGTATGTGGGCGGAGTAATACACAAAGGGTAAAGAGGCTGTACGGGTGCTGATATTACTTAAATATATCACAGCTATCAGCCAATCAGATTCGAAAATCAGACAGAACTGTTGTATATATATATATATATATATATATATATATATATATATATATATATATG